ATTTGTTTTCGGATTTGTCATTGTGTTTTCTGACTTGTTATAATGTTTTCTGAATTGTAGTTGTGCTTTCTGAATTGTTATTTTGTTTAACAATTTAATTTGCGTTTGTAATTTGTTATTTTGTTTTCAGAATTGTGATTTGTTTTGCACTTCTCGGCCACCGTACTTAAGCCTTGTCTGTGAAACCGGGGGATTGTTTACTTATCTCATAGTTATGACTTAGTATTTCATAACTTTGACTTTTATGTCATAATTATGATTTACTATTGTCATACATTTTTACTTTTATGTCATAATTATGACTATTTATCTCATAGTTATGAATTGTGACAATTTAGACTTTCCATTTCATAATTATGACTTGTCATTTTTTTTTACTTTTATGACATAATTATTACTATTTATCTCATAGTTGACTGTCATAATTTCAACTTTCTATCTAATAATTGACTTAGCATGTCATATTTTTTTACTTTTATGTCATAGTTATAACTTTATCTCATAGTTGACTTTGTATTTCATAATTTTGACTTTTATGTCATAGTTATGACTATTTATCTCATAGTTGACTTTGTATTTCATAATTTTGACTTTTATGTCATAGTTATGACTATTTATCTCATAGTTGACTTTGTTTCATAATTTTGGATTTTTGTCATAATTATGACTATTTATATCAGTTGGCTTTGTATTTAATAAGTTAACTTATTGTTTACTTATTTATCTCATAGTTATGACTTAGCATTTCATAACTTTGACTTTTATGTCATAATTATGACTTACTATTGTCTTAAATTTTTACTTTTATGTCATAATTATTACTATTTATCTCATAGTTGACTTAGTGGTTCATAATTTAGAATTTTGTATTATAATTATGACTATTTATCTCATCGTTTACTTCATATTTCATAAGTAAACTTATTGTTTACTTATTTATCTCTTAAATAATAAGACTTAGTATTTAGTATGTCATAACTATGACTTACTATTGTCATTCATTTTTTTCTCATAGTTGACTTAGCATTTCATACTTTTGAGTTTATCTCATAGTCATGACTTAGTGCATAATTAATTTTTTTTGTCATAATTATGACTATTTATCTCATAGTTATGATTTAGTATGTGATAATTTAGACTTTCCATTTCATAATTATGACAGTATGTAATTTTTATACTTTTATGTCATAATTATTACTATTTATCTCATAGTTGACTGTCATAATTTCAACTTTCTATCTCATAATTATGACTTCGCATGTCTTATTTTTTACTTTTATGTCACAATTATTACTCAGTTGACTTAGTATTTCATATTTTTGACTTGTCATAATTACAAGTAATCTCATAGTTGACTTGCTATGTTATAGTTTTGACTTTCTGGCTCATAGACTTATGTTATAATTTTATCCCATAATTATGACTATTTATCTCACAATTATGACTTCTTATTTCCTAATTTAGAAGTGTTTATGTCAAGACATGTTGGAATATGTGTTCCACATGTTAGAATAACACACAGTAAAGTTGTGAAACTCTGAAATAACAGTCAGAAGTCTGGGAATTATGTAGTGATCAAACTCTAATATTTGAGCTTCTTCTTTGTTTAGACTCCAGCTCTGCTCAATCTGGACATTACAAAAATGTTTGCAATTCATTTATATTTGTCTACAAAACTACTGCTCAAAATCAAAAGGGTTTCAAGATCATGAGAAAATAAATAAATCCAGTTCGGTGTCCAAACTTGGACTGGTAATATATCTTCATTTCTGCAGTAAACATGTCTTTTGTGATTTCTAGATGGATCCACAGACAAAGACTATTAGTAGGACGTCTTGTTTTGATATTATAAATATCACAGACCCGCTTCATCACCCTGTTGATGGCCGCTTCCTCCGTCTCCTCATCACTGTCAGGCTGCTGGAAATCTGACAGTCTGACTGAACAAACACACAGAAACACTGTTGTATTATGCATCTATTTAAAGGTAACATGAAGCATCATTCACAATGCATTTATATTATGTACAACCTAACAGTAGAACAAAAGATTTGATTTCATATATTAAAGATTTGATTGCCTTTCCATTTCTGCTGTAGAAATCAAGGCTGCATTTTGCAAGGAAACGTAGCGCAATACAATACAGTACAAAGGCAGAGAAAGCTTTGCACTAATGCATACACTAATGAACTGTACACAGTAAGAACCAAGAACATGTATGTAACATGACCCTATATATATATATTCTTAATGCTATTGGTTTTACTGTGAATGATTCATCCATGCATTATAATTTTTTACTTTAAATTCTTAATATTTATGGTAACTCTTTACAATAAGGTTCCATTAGTTAATGTATTAACTAACATGAACGAACCATGAACAGTACATTTATTACAGTATTTATTCATCTTTGTTAGTTAAGGAAAATACAGTTGTTCATGTTAATTCACAGTGCATTAACGAATGTTAAGAAGCACAACTTTTGATTTTAATAATGCATTAATAAATGTT